TCAGACGACATTCTTTTCATAACGTTAATGGTGTTGACCTCCATTTCCATGCCATCTGTCCTTATTTCAAAAGCAGAGTCGGCATTAACTATGTGGTAAGCATAGCGCATAGTTTCCTGTTTCGTTCCAACAAAATGATACTCATTTATTAAGCTCGGAAGACGAAGCATGAGCGACTCCAGTGACCCTGAGTAAGGAATTCACGCCAGGCTGCTTCAGTGCAACTAACCGAGAAATGGGTAGCAGGTCACTGACTAGCCAATAACGGGTACATCATGATGCATTGGTGAGGTCATGTTAGCGCGTTCAAAACATACGAAAATAAAGCGTGCGCTTTAGGGATAGAATTCGCTTTGACCCACTTTATAGCTGACTAAAACTCAGCACAACTTATAATTCGTAAATAAAAGGTAAAAACAAGTAGTTGAGAAAAACTGCATGTTATAGGCAAACGGGGGTCAATCGGGTGACTGACTGAAACCGATTTTCTCCGGTCTGTATCTCACGGGCCTTCTTCAAGGTAAATCTGGTGGTGAATTTCGGTACATGTCTGGGTCGTTTGGAGCTGACAGCCTTCACCCGATTGACTATCGATTTGTTCGGAGTCAAATAAATCCATTTCTTGACGTTTCTTAGCAGAAAGATGCTTACGCAAGATCGGCTACTATGTCAACAGGCCGTCAGACTTCGATAGAACGTCTGGAATTGAAGAAAGGGCGGCATTTTGCAGGATTCCATGTCCGAACTGATTGGAAGTATCATGATGAGATTTTCTCTAGAAGTAAGATATTAAAAATGAAAAAAAAACTAAAAGAAGTGCAGTAAATGAGCAAACGGTACAGCCGAGTGACTATCAGGTTTCGACAAAAAGGTACATTTCTAATAGCATCGCTTTTGGGACGCTCAATGTCATACTGCGCGAAATGATGAGATATAATGAACAGACGTAGTCCAAACAGTGATTAGCAAAGCCTGACGACAACGAAGAAGTCGCACGCGTCTTATTCTTAATCCTCCCCCCGTAGCCTCTTTTTTTTCTCAATTTAAAAACATCTCATTAACTATTTACGTAATTCTAAGTAACTAAAAGTCGGCACTGTATTAAATTCCAATGAGCAAGCTGTAGTCGTTGCTACATTTGGGCTGCAACAAAAACCTGGCACTGCATTGCATAAGCGTGTCAAGCAGACTATCCTGAGAATGCATCACCTCGTGACGAACGGCCTCGAAGCCCGTAGGATACCGACTAGACAAAGCAAAAACAGACAGACGTTTACGGAAAGCCACGTCTGCGGACAGCTCTTGTGATGAGCGAGGAAACGTTGTAAACACAAAGAGTATGACGTCTGATCGCCCAGCAATTACGGGTATTTATTTGCGGCGAAGCTAAACGACACTCGTTCCTTGAGCAGTTTCAAAGAATTGATCTGAATTGAAACAGCGAGTAAACTGCGAGTCATAGCTAAAATAATAACCAAAAAACCGGATCGACAAAGCAAGCGTTATAATTACATCCAGCTGTGAGTAACCCACTAACAGTGGCCGGCGTGCAGCCGTCTTCCTCATTTCTGTCCCCTTTTTCAGATAACAACTTTCCGTCTTATCCACTAAACGTTCCTTCGTCAAGAACAGTATTTAGGGGAAACTAAGAAAGGAAATAAATAAGTGCAAGAACGAACTTTCGAACAAGACCGTCAACTAGGGAGGTTTTCAGATTATTTCGTATAGGGTAAGTGTGCTGGTTGTCAACGACTTCATGGAAAGTAGCGTCTGACTGAGACGAAAATAACCGCGCAGTCGACGCGTAACTTTTACATAGCATATTCATTGTGTTTTGATGAAAAAGTTTGCATCAGCAATGAAAAGCCTGTTGTCTCATTTCTGTTGTTTCGTTAAAATATGAAGGTTAATTCCCATCTGGACTTAATGACTATCTTCCTTTTATCCCCTTGATTCACAGAACGCACGTCAGACTGATCACCAGGATGTTTTCCTGTCACTGATAAACTAACTAATTGCGGCCGTGTTGATAGCATAAAGAGGGGTACGATCTATTCGGTTCCCTTAGATGATGGTGAATTCTTTTTGTCGAACTTTAGAAATGTTGAACGTACCAGTGACGCAGAGAAAACAGCTTAAGATGGAACACGTGAAGTACAATAATTCACTAGCAGCGTAACTGGTCTGATAAAGTGGTGGCGTAGTGGCACAGAGTCGATGAGGTATGTTTCTAATTAAGCAGGTTCCGGATTGGATTCGACTAGACAGCAACCTTTCTATTATTCATGAATTCCACTGCACCAGGAACTTACCGCACTTTGCTTTATACTGTGTGGTTGCTCAGTCGGCATAGCGTCGAAGTCAAAATCGATAGGTCGCAAGTTCAACACTTGGTCAGTGTCACTCGCATATTTTCCTCCTAATGTTTATAAATCAGCACAACTCCATGGGAAGGAAACAGGCGATTACGCGCTAAGCTTGTCACATGGTTGTCAAATCTGCCTTTAAACAAATATGGCACTCCTTGTTGATGGCACAGAAATAAAGATCTGCACTGCACCACCAACTTCATGAAAAGAAGGGAGCCAGAATTGCCAGTGTAAGAAAGACCGACATTCCAACGGTTAAAAACTTTGTTTTATTTCTGTTATCTACGAGAATTAACTACAACCTTGATAAACGCCGCTAATTCCTAAACCTGTATTGCAATTTGGAAACGGCTTTTAACAA